TGTAAATGAATTGTATACCTAAAATGTACCAATAAAAGAACTAAAAATAAATAAATGAATAAATATATACCCACTATATTTTAAAAGCTGTGATTCAACTATAATAGCCACTGAAAGAAAACTATTTACAGATAATGGAAAAATTACACATTTAACCAGAACAGGGCATTTGACTATAAGAAGTTACTTATGAATCCATACACAAATAGAAGTTAATGGCTACTCATATTTTCTAGTAGCAGACTGTCCTCTTTTCATAAATGAAGGAAAAGTAATTCACTGTTACTACAGTAATCACTGATATGCAACTAGTGTTGCTCAGAATGGAGTTTTCAAAGTTTGTTTGAAAACTTATGCAATTTTATTTGCATATTTTCTTATTTCACTAAATGTTAATACTTTCATTATTATCAAAAATTACCAGCAAATAAGAAGCAGTATGATACCACAGGTTTGGGTAAATAATGAGCTCTTCATATTTTTCTGTAACCTTGCTTTTGTAATGGAGTGACACTAGGGAAAAGCCTGAGAGCCAGGCAGCAGGATTTCTCAGGAGTTAGTTCCCACAACAAGCTCCAGAGTGACCCTGCATCTGGAGACCAAACCCCACCATGCAGAAGACCTTGACCAAGTCAGCTGCAAGCTGTGCTTTGAATATTAACATTTGCTACCACCTCTGTCCTTGGCAGCTTTCGGAGGTACAAAAACTCACAAGTGAAATTCAACCTTCAGCAGTTAGCAACCAAAGCTCCAGGAAGAGTGGCCTATATATTGCATTAGAGAGAAGAAAAATGCTTGACCTACTTGGATCCGATAAGATGGAGTCAGTTTTTGGCAGGAATTGATCACAACGCACTCCCTGGTAGCCTTCTTTGCACCTGAGGAGAGAGGACAAATGACAAATATGCACACGTGGTTGTGAAAGATTCATTCCAAGATCTCACCAAGGAAAATAACCAATTATACAAATGAGAGAACAGCATATTTTTTTTTGTAATATTTGATTCAGTCTGTTTCTGACACCAATGGGCAGAGTCTAGATTTTATCTCTATGGAGAGAGGGAGATGACAGAGAGAGAGAGGCACAGCTTAGCTTTTATAGTTATATATGTGACACCTAAGGAATAAATTGAGTAGCATCTTAAGATGCCTCTCTTAGAAATCTGAATAATGCTTTTCTACATATTATAATTCTAGAAGCAGGTACACTTTATGCAACATGTGGTCGCTAAAATATATTCAGAAACATTATATTGCAAAGGGCCATTTTTCTTATAAAAATCATGTTCCAACATAGCACAGTAGTTGTAGATTTTAGCTATTGCTTCCTTCATTTTCTCATTTTTCTTAATGGGGTAATTTCCTAATTTGACTGTTTTGAATTTCCTTCTTAGATATTCTTCCTGTGAATGTCACCTAACAGCTTTGCCAGAAATCTCAGCATTTCAACTGGCAAGGGCTAAGAGGCAGTCCCATCTTCACATATTCTCTCTCTCCACTTTTCTCTTTTACATTCAGCAAACATGTGCAAAGTGCCTGCTTTCTGCCAGGCTTTTTACAGGGCAACTGTCCCAAGGCCAGAACAATTTGGAGGCAGGAGTCACTGAGGCATTTCCACTTAGCCAAGCAGGTTCCAGCACCAACACTCACTTAGGGCTGCTTGGCCAATCCAATAGCAGCAGCCCATCAGCTGAAAGTTCAAGAACAAATATAGCTGTGGTCCCAAAGCTGCCTGTGAGCCATCTCTTTAAGTGGGAGGGTGGCATTTACTGGCCTGCTTGACAAAGCTTCACCTATCATGCTTGGGTTAAGCAGAGAAACAACTACTGCTGCTTATAGGATGAGTCTGTCCTACTTTAAGAGGGGGAAATTGGGCCACTGAAATAAAAATCAGATTTAAGGAATAATCCTCTAGTTGTTAGCAATCTATGAAATTGACAAAAAAAAATCAGAAACTGTTGTGTTAGAATATTCTTTGTTTTCTAAGTGTAATGATCTATTAGACAAGGCTTATTGCAACTGGAGCAACAATATTGAATGGTACCAAGGAAATTTTTTCACCTTTTATTGGGAGCCAAATTGAAAAGCAGGTAATCAGGCAGGTTCTCTTCAGTATCTTTTCAAGGTTGGCACTCTGAACCATATTTAGCAATTTTCCTTGTAGGTTGAGAACAAATTCCCTTGGTAAATGGATATGCCAGGAAACTCCTGGACTATTGAAAAATAATTGGTTTATGCAGGGACATATTTTCATAACCTTTTAAACAAATGTATTTATTATACTTGAAACAAAACACTCATATTGCTTGTTTTCTAATGCTAAAAGTCAGAAAATAGAACTGAAGCATATTTGTAAGGAAAAAAATTCTGTTTTCCCAAAACTACCCTGATATTATTGTGCCTTTATTTAAAATTACCTGAAGGGAGGGCAGGGGAATGGGGAAAAAATAAGAACCAAGATATATCATGTAAAGGTACAAATTCATCATATTGTATACCTAAAATGTACCAATAAACTTAACGAATTAAAAAAAGAAATAACCTGGACCATGCAACATTAATTTTCATCTTTCCATGCTCATGAGTTACATTCTGGGTATGGACTGTTGTATGCATTCATTTTCAGAGATGTTATTTCTAATATGTGGAAGATTTTAAGTGTTCTTTACTCTTTGTATCTTTATTTAATATGAAAATGGTATCCTGGGGGACAGCAGCTTTTAATGGGAAAGTGCTATTTTCTGTTTTGTTTTGCTTTTTAAGGCTTCTTTGTTATTTAAAATGCATTATTCCATTTGTGTGTAGCAAAGAAAATAAGGAAAGAGGTTTGAGATTTTTCCAGTCTTTCCTGATTTGCCATAATTCTGAGCCCCTCTTGAAGTGTTGAGGGTCATGAGGTGTCGGGAAAATCTCAGAGCAAGTACATCCATGTTGTCTTCCTAACCCTGGGCTGCAGATGATACACAGAATGGGGCTGCTACTGACTTGCACAGACTGGGAAGCCCAGCAGAAACATCTAGCTGGGTATGCAGCAAATTCTGCCCCTTTGTAAAGGAGGCAGGAGGCACTGCTAATTGGTGCTGAGTTTAAAGAATACCATATTAAAATTCCCATTTAAAGATCACACATATATCACCTTGATAAGTTCAGACTCATCCAAATGTGAAGATGGAATATCGCTTGCAGGCAGGGCCAGTGAAGTGGAATGAATCTGTGACAATATTAAAGATAAGATGCAAAGGGGAAAAAAGTCTGCAAATGTACTTCTGTTGTATAGACTGAGACTTGCGGATCTTCTCACTTTGTGATATGCACATCTTTTGAGAAATATCATTGCATTGCTTGTTTTTGTTTCCGTTAGTACCGAGGGTGGTGAGAGAGCTTTGGGGAGGTTCTATTTGAAAAATACAATTATAATAAGAAAATAAATTTATATATGAGAATGATCTTTCTATTCATCTTAAAGCATATTGGTTGTTGTAAGAAATACATGTCCAGTTGTTAGTGGCAAATATGTATTTTAAAGCACAAATCTTGCCTTAAGCAGGTTCACAGTCTATCATTGCTCCACTCTACCTTCTTTTCAAATCCACTCAATCCATCCACTCCCTGTTCCCTCGGTTTCTTTATCCTTTAGAATTCTTGCATCACAGAAGCTATATTAAAAATTACAATACTCCCCAGTTGTTTACAGGGTTGTTTGATCCTGCAACTCCATGGCCTTAGAGCACACAGCATGCTTAGGACAGAAAATGCATCCAGGATTGACGAAGGGTTGCATCAAGAGAGAATTATTATCAGCAGAGAAATAAGCACAAAGCAAACTCAGAATGTAAGAGGTCATACATTTTACTTTGAAAAATAAATAGCCTCCAGTCCTATGTAGTTATTCTGAGGTGAAGGTGATCTTTCTCGATCATGCTGTTGGGTTTTTATTTCCCAGTTTACAAGGAAGGGGATCATTGAGGCCACAGTGCCCTAAGCAGAAAAGGGCAGGTGAGAGTTTGTAGGGAAAACTATGTCAAGGTTACTGGAAATAAGAGAGATTATCCCCAGGTAATGGGGAAATATGTGATAGGGGAGAAGGCTGCTGAGCCCGACCTCAGTATGGAAAAGGTCTGTCTCTTCATGAGCCTATGGATCAGCAGAACCCAGGCTCTCCTTTCCCGGGGTACTGATTGGCATGTAGTCTCAGAAGCATGAGTCACCTTTCTCCACCTTACCTCACTCTAGCTTTGCCCTCTCCCCCTTGTCCTTGCTCAGCTGAATAAGACATAACGAGCACCCCCTTTCTGTCATTTTTCCTCCTCCACATTGTCCCCAAGGAAAGGCCCAATGGTGAGTTTCAGTGAAAACTTTCAAAAAGCAATCCTTGAGAAAAGGACAAGAAAGGAATAAGGGGAGAATGAGAAAATACAAGACACACTGTCCTTGGCTGGAATTCAATACTTGTTTTGTCTGGTGGGGTGAAGCAGGAGTGGTCCACATTGTCACCTGGGTTGGCTACTGAAGTGCGCATTGGAGTGACTTTTAAAATGGTCACATCATAGGCTTGTGTTCACAGAAATCACCAGCCTTAAACTAGCTAACGGTGACGACTGTGGGTACAAGGGCATGCTGCTAACTGCAGGCGATTTCCACCTCTCGCCTTCAATCCTCATATGCCAGTGCATGTCTATGAGTCCAGACCCCAAATAATACCTGAATTAGAGCTATTAAAGTGAGTTGGAAAGAGTGAGAGTTGAAGCATGTCCACATACCAACAGCCTCCCTACATTACTAGACTATCCTTCAATTTCCCTCTTGTCCTCTAATTAAAATAAAATGAAACAAGGAGAGCACAAAATTGTTTCACTGAGTGAACTGTACTATCCTCTAATTTCCTGGCCCTTCATTCAGTGGAAGGTGTTATTGTTGTTTTACTGCTAACTTTCCCCTTCCTTCTTCTGTGTTCCTTCACCAGAACTTAATTGTTGGCATGGATAGGCCAGCCAAAACTCTTCTTTTAAGGGTCTATCTTTCTCATTTGTATCACAATGACTAAGAGGACTGGGTTTATATTCTGACTTTTCCACTTAATCATTATTTTATTTTGATTTGTTTTTGCAGTACAGGGAATTGCAGTGCAGGGCCTCCTGCATGCTAGGCAATAGTTCTACCACTGTGCCACATGTCCATTCCATCTGCAAATTTAATTTTGAGGCAAGGTCTTGCTAAATTGGCCAGGTTGGCCTTGAATTTGCAAGCCTCCTGACTCAGCCTCCTTAGAAGTTGGGATCACAGGTGTGTACCACCATATCTGACTTCTACTTAGTTTTTCTGTGGAGGTACTTTAGATAAATTATTGAATATCATTTCCTAGTTTCAACTTGAATAAAATGAGTATGATACCAAGAAGTGGAAAAAAAATAATAAAGCAGGGACTAGGGATGTAGCTCAGTGGTGCTGAGCCTGCCTGGCAAGCACAAAGTCCTGAGTTCAATTCCCTATACTGGAAAAAAAAAAGAAAGAAAGAAAAAGAAAAAGAATAAAGCATACCTAGTCAATATACTTTCATTTTTCTCATCTTTATACCAAGACCTTATGCCTTGTATCTACAAAGATGTATTTCAGATATCGAGGGAAATATGTGAAGAACATAGATCTGCTCAAATATTTTCTTCAATCCCTGTGTATTGCTTGATCCCGCAAAAATTCCACGAGAAGTATATATACCTCCTTCTTGGGGCCTTGATTTTGAATGTAAAATGCTAAATAACATTAATTAATTAATTAATCAACATCATGAAAAATGGTGGCAGGTAAATTTTGTGGTTTCTTGACTATAGAAACTTTTATTCTTCAAAAACAATGTGGCCATTCCTTTTTGACACTACAG